TTTTTTTTTTTTTTTTTTTTTTTTTTTGAAGGAATTCTTTGTTTGGCATCAAATGTGTATATTTTTGCGCTGTAGAGGATTTAAGAACTCATTAATTATGACGATTTTGGTTTTTGGAAGAAAAAAAGTTTTAGTGGAGAAGGGGATATTCAGAGATTACTTTTACGATGTGCAGCATATTGCTAAAGGTTAACTTGTGTAAGCTTAAAAAGAATTTACAGCAATCAGCTCAATCCTGGAGTTTTCACACCGGTGATTTGGAAAGACATTTTTGCAGTGAGGAAGTACACATACTCAGAAGTTTGTTTGGAAGGGAGGAGTATTCACAGTATGTTCTAATGACTCATGGACAGCCAAAATTACGAGACAGTTTCTGAAGTGTTTGAGTCGTGTTTAGTTAGTCTTTGTCGCGTATATGGTTATAATAGAAAAAGGCTACCAAAATCGAGTCTCAAACTTTATTTCGTATCAAAAATACTGACGAGGGAATAAATTAGTGGTGAGACCTATGTTTGACAAATGCGCATCAGAAGGTACTTTATGTTGCATTGTAACGGTGGTTCGTTTTTTAATGAAATTTTGTGAGAAGGACGGTAGTTGGGAGTATTACGAAAATTGGGGTTAAGAGCGATGAATACTACTGATGACGCTCATTCTTGAGCTTTTGATCAAAAGAGTGGCATTTTGCTGGTGAAAGAAGAAGCTAAGCTTAAGTTCTTTTTTGTAGGCAGTATAGCGGTAAGCTTAAATAAGCTGCATCTTGCATACTTAATCTGCAATTAGTGCGTTGAGGCTTCATATAAGTTAAACAACAAGCTTGCTGCTTGTCAACTCTCGTATTTATAGGACTTTTTTTCGTGTGTAATAACTTTTCAAAATTTTTTATCTAAGTCTCGACTGATGTTTTCAAAGACTAGTACAACCTTCACATTGATTTTTGGAGCGATCATAACAGTCTACAGAATCTGCGTGCAGTAAGAATTTGAACGTGCTTTTTTGAGCTGGCTGTCTTCGGCTTCTGAAGGAATTGGAAGAAGAGGACTCTTGCAGTTTTTATTGGGGAATTCAGAACGCACATATTTTTAATTATGTGAAGGGCGTTGGCGAGGTGCTTTGCGTTGTAGTTGGAAACGCTTCAGGTCCTTTCACCATTTTAACTGGTAGATCTTTTCTTGTTGGTGGCCGCTCTACTGCGGGAAATAGGTCGTTTTTGAATCACGCTCTCCATCTTTTGACTTTTGGATTGCCGTCGCGTGAAGAAAAACGGTGAGTAGAGATGTGAACAACAGTGTGGAACATTCACTTTTATGAAAGTCTAGCGTCAGATTGAAACTTAACTGCTGCATCTCGGAATATTGAAGATCCTATTGGGCAGCGTAGAATAAATCTAAAGAAGTCACGTATTACGCGAAGCACAAGTATGAAATTTCTCAGAATATAATGCAGCACAAGCGTCATGCAGTGTAATTTTTTTTTGTTTGAAATCTGGTTCCTTATTCCAAAGGTGATTCAGTGAAGGGGAGTAACAATCTTCTGGTATAGTATTGGCATTTATTCAAGCCAGCTTTCAAGGAGTTTATTTGTACCTTTTCTCGTAAAGTTTAAGTTTCTGGTAAAGTTTCACTAATTTAAAGTTATTAGTATTTTTTTGCTTGTACAGGTGGGTTTATGATTAAGTAACGACTAATTACTAGAAGAAAATTCTTTTGGCTTTGTTATTGAATTCTAGCTCTTTGATGAAGTTGCGATTAGCAAAGTTTTTCCACTCATTTGCTTTTTTAGGATAACTTTACGTATTGAAAGATTACACAGGTGGGATAATAACCCAAGTTTGGCATCCAGTAAAAGTAAGGTTATTCAAATGAGTCAGATTTTTTTCAATAATCCTTTTTAAAGGTGAAGTAGTTAAACCGATTGTGATTGTGACTATCCTCGAGCGGAGTACATATATTTTGCTTCTACTTATGAAGCCAGTTTTACGGTGAACGTTAAGACACGTTTCACTTAGAAGGAGTTGCATTTTTTTAAGCATATTATACGTAAAAAGCTATTCTGGAAGAAATTTTTTGATATGAACGGCTCGTTATCGTAGTCACATGCCTTAAACGAGGTTGTAGAGGCCTTTTTTTTGGAAGAAGATATGTTTTGGTTAGTAAAACTGCACTTTTGTTTTCGAATCTGTTTTGGTGTAGTGGTCATCTAGATGTATCATTTTTTTCAAGAAATAGGAGATATGGGTTCGAGTGCCTTTGAGAATGGACTTATTCGTTTATGCTTTCGCCTTTACTTGGTCCTAGTATTTTAAAGTAACTAGGTCTTTTTATGCATTTTTAAATAAAGAACTACTTACATTGTGAAGAATTATAGGAGTTTGAAAAGGTTTCAACCTCGCAACTGAAATTTTTTCTTTTTTGTGTCAGACGAGGGCGATAAAGCAGAAACAAGAGAAATTTGAAACTTTTGGTGTTTTAATTGAAGTGACTTACCATAAACAAGCCAGAGTGGAAACGCTGTAAAATAATTTCTTCAATCCTACAGTTTGCGAAATAATATGATTTGTTATTGTAATAAATATCTGCTAACTGTACTAATTATGATTGAGGGTACTTATGTTGGTTAACGTGCCATTCCAAGTCCAGAGTCCCTTGTTTTTTTTTTTTTTTTTAGGTATACTAGATATTTTAGAAGTAACCCTCGTCTCTATTTTCCTAATTTGAACTTCCGATACTTTGATAGGTTTTGTCAACATCAGGAAATTTTAAGAAAAATTCTGCCTGGTCGCAGACAGTCAGTGCTGCTTGTTTTTCCAGAAATTGATTTTAATTACACGAGTTTTATAGCAAAGTAAACTACAGAAAGTTTGAGTATTTGTCATCTTAACTGAGTCAGTACAGTCATTATGTCTCCTGTTGTGTTCTACAGTTTGTATTTTACTTGCTTATTTTTGTTTATCACGATAAAGCCTCAGCTAACGTACTGTTTTCCAGATTTTTTCGTCACAGGGTCAATATTTGCGCAAATGCGGTTTTGATTCTGCAGTTTACTACAAAAATCTTGACTCTCCACGAGGAGTTTGTTACATGCATGACGGTCAACTTTTGATAAGGTAGCTTTAAAGGTGTTTAGGGTTTTAGCCAGTAAAATTAGTGGAATAATACTTTTTGGTCTTCGTTATCCTTCAGCGACTTCAACAACCATCGTCTTGTATTAATTTCTCCATTATCTCCAAGTGAATTCAAGTGTTATGGGAGTGAAGGGCAAGCAGAGGGTTATTTTTGTCGTCCACAAGGGATTACTATGGATAATGAAGGACATATTCTTGTTTGTGACACTCGTAACAATCGGGTTCAGGTTAGTTTGATGCTTTCCTAACTTTGGCAACCAATTGTGTAATTAATTATCATTTGTGATAGTTTTTCAGGTCTTAAGTGCTGAAAATTTTCGATGTATTGCTTCATTTGGAGGTTCACCAAGCTCGAAATCGTCATCACCGCAGCAGACTGGATCTTCTAAAGGTGCGGTAGACTCTTATTTTGGGATACCTCCAAATAAAATGCCATCATCATCAGTTGAAACAGCGATTCCGATGCTAGACCGTCCGACAGACCTTTGCGTTTCTCCAGAAGGTCTTATTTACGTGGTAGATTTCGGTAGCAATTACATACGCGTCTATTAAGTTGTTTCTGAACTTTCATTTTCAACTTTTCCTGAGATTGATTGGATTTCTAAATGTCGATACATATTTAGGTATCTTCTTTTTTGCTTTTTTTTATATCGTGTCTGGAAGGGTTCACTTCTGCGGCGATTTATTCAATGCTTTATGCTTTGTCACCACGCGTGTTTTTATTTCACTATTTCTTGCGCTTATTATTTCCTTTATCGCCTGGAGCTTTCTCACTGCTTTTTTATTTTTTTAAGAAAGCAAATGGTCTTGTTTTGTTTGAATTTTCTACCTCACTGTTAACTGTTGATTTTAATTTGCTGATATTTGAAACTAGTATTTCATTTCATAGTCGAGTTTATGAATGAATGTTATAGTTAAATTATTTGAGAGCATTGTATTGAAGCTTTATTTATTGTTTGAGTAGGAAAGATATAGGTGTTTACGGTCTCACTTTATATTGCTTTTTCCTGCTTTTTTCTTTTTTTTTGATGAAAGTATTATTGTCATTTGCTCTACAGCTGATGAAACCTCCGAATTTTACCTCGTATGATTCGCTGGCTCAATTGAGCTTTTAGGGTCGCTGTTTTCAATACTGATTTTTCATCTATTCAACTGTCAGTGTGTTAATCACTCTAATTTCTACCTCGTCGTGTTGTAGTACCGAATCGTTTGAATGCTGTTGACGTATTCAAATTCTTCTTAAAATACCTCTGAAGTTTTAATCTATTTTGTTGCATATCGTTCATTTCTGGCGAAGTATTTTTTAAGCCTTTTTGTTTATTTTCTTACCTCTTGTTTATATTGTCTTGTTTGGTACGCTGATTTAGTTCTTTTCTCGATTCAGGACTGCTTTTCTTAGCCCCTTTTTGGAGAACTTTGTCTTTTTCAAACTTATCGCGAAGATCGTTTCATTGAATTGCAGTTTACGTTGTCATTAATGCAGCGACATGTAGTTGATGAGTTTATTGCAGATTTCCATTTGATTTACAATACCGTTGAAATGGGCGATAACTATGATCTTAGAAATTGTTTTTCTCGTGTTTTATTTTCTTTTATTTTACTTTTTTTTTTTTTTTTCGAGAACACTTGGCTACTCAAGGTTTTAGAGTTTTTAATTTGGCTCAATATCTTCAGTGGTCATCAACAGGTTGAATATTCTCAGTGAGTTCTGTCGTCAAACGAATTTTTCTTTGATCATGGCTTCAGTTTCTTAAGCGTAGCTCTAAATTATATTTTTGAAGCATAATTCTATTGTTCATGCTCTTTATGTGCCGGTGAAGTTGTTTACTTTTTAATTACTCTATAAGAGCACTTGTTGTTTTGTTAGTATCGGATTAACTTGCTTAAATAATAAAACCTAATATAATTCATTGGGCTGGGTATTATAAGCAGGCATCACTTCTTCGCGTTTATCCTTCACACTCTGCAAGTTTTGAGATGAACGATGACTGTATTTAGGGTTGCAGGAACCAATTTGAATAATATAAATATTTTATTCATTCAAAGTCTTGTCACTTTCTGCCAAAAGCATCTTTTTCTGGCGTTCATCCTTCCTGTTCTTTGTGAGGCTTATTACCTATAGGAGTTGTAGTTTTTAGCGGTTAAATTGCAGTTAGCCCCAGTAGTATCTCTGGAAGTGATCCTACTAGTTTTTGACAAAATGGAAGAGCTGCAATCTGAAGTTTAAGAAGGCATTTTAGCCAAGCTGCTATACCCGGAGCCTGGAATTTGACTTGTTACTGAGCTGGTTTGGTAGGGAGGATAGGTTCAACGCAAAAGTTAGCATGTGCATTTTCACAGTTGAGCGCCGAGCCTGTTGATCGGAAGGAAGCAATGAAATTAAATCTGGCAGGTTAAGCAAATGCTAAAGGAATGGGTTTTGAGTTGTTCAAAGGCTCACTGGTCGCACTGTATTGCCTTCTTAGTTTATTGTATCGTTCAGACTTTGGGAATTAGCGTTTCTTACTAGTTCACTAATTCACCACCATATCTGTGAAAAGAGTAGACTTTTTTAACTGTTTAGAGTTTTATTAACACTGAAAAAGCTTTAGCGTTATTACTTTCTATATTTTCTTATATTTTTGCCATAGTTTTCTAATAGATTTTTTAGGTACTACTTTTGACCTGGACTTTAACTTTTGTAGAATTTGTGGAAAAAGGTCTGCATTTATCGATTATTGCCCGTTTAATTTGCCTTCCGGCTTAAATTTGTAAAACACGTTTTTTTTTTGTGATACAGTTTATTTTGATTTTGTTACTCGGCCTCCTAGTTATCTGTTAATCTCCATTATTTGAGTTCTGTTTAAAGTAATAAATAAATTCTAGTCTGCCAAACAAAACTGTATTTTGTTTTCACTGCGACCAGAATAAAATTTACGGTTTTATTGGTGGTCAGTAACTTTAACAGTACTGGACAGCTGTTGCGTGAGTTAGTCGATGAAATTAACAATTGAAGAAACAAAAGTTTCTAAGGTTAAGGGACAGGCTTTTTTGGGTGTTTTTAAAGCGCAATATAATTGTATAAGTAGTTTCATTTGAAGCTAATAAAGGCTGATGTAGATTATGAAAAGTTCTGGTATTTTACTAATACTATGCTGTTGCGCACCATTCTCCAGGTGAACGGGTTTTGATTTGTTTTCACAGGAATAAGTAGAATTTTGGTGCACTCCAAATAATTTCGTACCATTATTCAAAGGCGCAAGCCTTATACACATTTACTTAATTATGGGGAGCAGAATTATAACCACTGTTAAGGTTAGTTGTGTAAAGAGCCAAATGTTTACTTATTGATTGTCGCTTTTTGTGGTTACTTAGTGGTTAATAGGTTACGTATTTGAATGTTGTACTGCATACACATTTACATATATATAAGCTATGAAACTGACCGCACTGACGAAGACTAAGGGAAGCTGATCATTGATCAAAAACCTTGTTGACGAAGATCGACACTTCCTGTTTCTTCGGTTACCTTTAAATTGTTCCTTTCTTTTTTTTTTCTTTCGTTGTGTAGTATTCCTATACCGCATACATTTCTGCCTTTATCCGAATAAGACAGGGCATCAAACTAGTGTACTGTCAACACCCTAATCGACATTAAAAAAAAGCATCTAAAAAAAGTCAGACGGTCACCTTGACGGGGGGAACACAAATGGTAACAGGTCAGCCACTGCAGGGAAACAGTGTCTTTAAAGTTTACAACAGCAACTAATCATGCTTTCGGATACCACTCATCAATAATGTAGGTAAAAACGGTCTTGAAAAAACAAAAAACAACGCAGAGCAAGAAGGAATCGAGATCCACTCAGTTAAAAAAACTGAAGTGCAGCAAAAAAGGAAAAGTTAAAAAAAATCCGGTAAATAATTTGTTTGTATCTCGCTTTTTTCATACAGTCCAGCAACGCTGTACCGAACTAACGGAGGAAATCGAGCAAAAAAAGTAGTGGGAGAGGGGCATAAACTATTACAACCATTCTGTCTATCCATCCATAATCTTTCCAGTGCACGCTCAGCAGTTATAACAGCAGTTTATGAAAATCAACAAATATACATAGAACAGACGATAAAATTGCTGAAATTTTTCCGCTCACAATCAACGCATCAACAAAGGACGACAGAAATGCGAAAAGAAAAACCACTGCTTCAAATATAAAGGAAAAAAAGACCTCAATAACCTTTCCAGTGGACAAATAACAGCAGCCATTTCAGGGCACCAAAACTGTGTAGGGACTAAAATCAGAAGCAAAACAAAAAGAAGGCAAAGCAGAGCAGAGCAAAATGAAACAAAAGCGAAAAAATGCTTTCTGTAAACTCAATTTCTTTTCCGTCTTCTCTCCTTTTGTCGATACAAACAGCAGAATACGTACAC